CCAATCTCTGGAATCAACCTAAGAGGCGTGGGGTCCTTGTGTGTGTGTGTGTGAGGAGGGGGTGTAGGGAGGGGTGAGAGAGGGCATGTCGGTTGGTTTTTGGCGGGGTGATGGGGGAGGGGGATGGGGGGGAATGCAAATGGAGTAGGTAGAGGAGGGGTATGTGGTGGTGGAAGGGAAGTCGCTCTGTTAGTTGAGTGTCATAGGGTGGCGTGGGTAGTGGAAGGGTTCCGTGTGTCTGTGCGGTTGGCGACAAAGTGCGGGAAAGAGTCATTGAGTCAATGACACGTCGTTGTCAATATTTTTGGGGGGAAGGGCACTTGGCAGGAAGGGGCTTGAATGAGCGCGGATAGTCGGCGTACGAGGTAGAGACGGAACAGGGAGGGGGAGGAGGGGGTGGGTGGGAGGGGGGTTATGGGCATTGGGTCTAGATTGCATGCGGTTGGTGGGTTGGGCGGAGGAGGGGGGGGCAATGACAGAGCGCAGCGGATTGACTGGATGGATCTGCTACGTTCGTTGACCATAAATTAGATGACAGGGAGGCTTCATGTCTCAACCATGTAGGCTCTGGTGCAGACAAGCAAGCAAGTCATGTGAGAGCATCACATATTGGTATAGTACAGATAGTTCAGCGTGTGTAATTTGGAGGTGGTGGCAGGTTTCTGCAGCGTGTAAGGCCTCATAACACGTGCCGGACGAGCCCCGGTACAGACTCAACAAACGATTGCTTCAAGTAGAGCTTTGCAAGCCTTGCCAATATCCACACGTCGACGTCAGTACACCGTCATCGCAAACCAGTTGTTGTCAGAGTCGTCGACAATGCAAAGCGAGCGAGAGGTTTCGTTGACAGTGGAGCGCGGCTTGCGTTTGGTGTCCGTTGGCTGCCATGTCGGCCGTATCATCATTGATGACTGGGGCCGATGAAGGTCGCACAAGGCGCTAGGAGTGATGCGAGGAGATCAGCGAGGCGCTGATGGTAGAGAGAGGGAGAGAGAGGGAGAAGGACTGCTCGTGGTGTCTATCTGGCGGTCGCTGGTTGTTGCTCGGTCAGCGCGCCGGCCAACGCTTTGTCCAGGCGGTGAGGGGGGGGGCTTCTATCAGGTAGATAAGGGAGATGGGTAGCATTACGGAGATCATACTTTTGCTACAGGTTGTCCTTGGGTCTGTTCATGGTTGTAGCTGGTTTCGTGGGGTCAGGTTGAGTATTTCTCTAGTGATGGTGGTTATAGGGGGGCTGTGCGGTGAGATGGTATGATCACTCGTCAAAAGTGTCGCCTGATGATAACTATGTCACCGCAATTGGGTTGTCGATTGCGCGCCAGCTGGGAAAAGACGAGCTCGTTCGGACGGTTGTATGGCCGTATGGCACTGTCGTGTGCATGGACATGCGTACGAGCGGCATGTGAGGTGGTAGGTGTGGTGGGATTCTTGATCTATGTAGCAATATGTAAGATCGGAGTGTGCAGGCAGCAGGAGCCTTAGCGAGATCGACTGGCCGATGGCCGAGCGGAGAAGGTGCGAACATTCCAAAGACCGAGCTCGAGAAGTGTGTATGTAGGGCAGTGGAGTCAAAGCTTGTCGTCCGCTCTTGATCCCGATCGTATCGACGAGCATGTTTGTCGTGACGGCGAGGGCCGTCCATTGCGACGACGGGCACATCCTTCACGCACATCGTCCATGGCATCGGAATGGCAGTGGTAAGTTGAATGGCAGCTGGAGAGCTTGTGGTCATCTGTTACGCGATGGCAAGGCCAGAGGCAACAACGTCCGACAGAAATTCAGCGCACGCGCAGGCAACGTGGCACAAACTCCCGCCGCTGCCACTGCCCAGCTCCACCGCCCACGGCCCGCTTCCCCCGCGCTCATGGTCGGTGTGTGGCAAGAGCTCGCGTGAGAGGTACACAGCACTCTGAAGACAACGACTAGCATGAAGAAGTCGACGATGCTGTACATCAACGTTGTGGCCGTTATGGTGGTCTTGGCTATGGTGACGCCAGCCTTTGGCTTGGAGATGCCCCTCGACGACTCGGCGGGGAGCAAGCGAGTGACATCTTGGGCAATGGCTGGCAATGGCCTTTTTTCGCACGCTGCTGGAGCAGGTGGAGCACCGGGTGGAGCGGATGGAGCTTGGCCTGTTGCGGGAGATCAGGGGCCTGTGTACGATACGATGTGGTTTGATCAGATTCTGGATCACTTTGAGTTTACCGTCGAGGCATCGATGACCTTCAAGCAGCGGTACTTGGTCTCGACCAAGCATTTCAACGCCTCGCGCCCGGCGATCTTCTTCTACACCGGCAACGAGGGCCCGATCACTGGCTTTGCTGGCAACCTTGGGCAGATCTGGGAGAACGCTGCCGATCTCGGCGCCGCTGTGATCTTTGCCGAGCATCGTTACTACGGCGAGACCCTGCCGTTTGGCGAGGCCACGTTCAACACCACCGAGAACCTCCGCTGGCTCACTTCGGAGCAGGCTCTCTCCGACTACGTTCTGCTCATTGCTGCACTCAAGGATCCGGCATCGAGCCACTATCTCGGGCAGGGCGCCGAAAACGCCGCGGTCATCACGTTTGGCGGCTCCTACGGCGGCCTACTCTCGGCCTACATCCGGATCAAGTACCCTGGCGTCGTTGCCGGTGCTGTTGCCTCGTCGGCGCCCATCTGGCTGTTCCCCGAGACGCAGCCGGCCGGCGGCTTCCTCGGTTGGGTGACCAAGACGTTCACGGCGCAGTGCCCTCAGTCGATCAAGCCCATTCGGTCGACATGGGAGACGATGCTGCAGATGGCGGCGACGCCTACCGGGCTCAAGCAACTCTCGTCAACCTTTTCGCTCTGCCAGCCGCTCTCCTCGCTGGCGCAGATGGAGGCTGGCCTGTGGATGCGGATCGAGGCCGCGCTCATCTACCTTGCCATGGCTGACTACCCGTACCCGGTCGACTACTTTGGTCCGCTTCCGGGCAACCCGGTGGAGACGGTCTGCCCGTTCTTTGACGGCGTGGGCACCGGCGACGACGCGGTGGAGGCGCTCGCCTCGGCTGTTGCCCTCTTCTACAACTACACCGGTGAGGGCGGCGAGTGCTTTGCGCTCTCGGCCACGCCGGGCGACTTTTCGCTCAACCAGATGCGGGCGTGGAACTACCAGTTCTGCACCGAGATGACGCTGGCTGAGCTCGGCTCCAACGGTGTGACCGACTTTTTCTACCCGGCGCCGCTGGATCTCAAGGCCTTTGCGGCGGCGTGCGCCCAGCTGTACCCGGGCATTGTGACCCGGCCAGACTGGGTCTCGGCGACGTACACGTCCAAGCCGCTGCGCGGCGCGTCGAACATTGTCTTTGCCAACGGCCTGCTCGATCCTTGTACCTCGGGCTCGCCGATGGTCGACCAGGGCCCTTCGGTCGTCGCACTCAACATTGCCGACGCCGCCCACCACTTTGACCTGTTTGGCTCGAACCCGGCCGACCCGCAGTCGGTCATCGACGCCCGCATCGAGGAGCGAGAGTACATCGTTCAGTGGATCGCCGAGTGGCTTGCGTAGTGTAGTCACCGGAGACGATAAAGCTGCCGTTTTACTCCTCGTCGTCCGACGATGACGCCGACATGTGGATGACGTCGGCATTGGGCGCCGCACTCGTGTTGACCGGCGGCGGGAGGACAAGCGGCTTGCGACCAGAAGGCCCGGCGGGTGCAGGCGGGAGCGGTTGCTGTGGCGTAAGGAGCGACTGCGGCGGCTGCGGGAGGAGCGACGGCGGCGGAGCCGAAGGCGTGCCCGTCGGCGAGAGTTCGACATAGTCGTCGGCGCGGAGCGCAGGCGAGTCGATGCCCAGCAGGGCAAGCAGGGCCACCGTCTGCGGCGAGCCCGGGTGGTAGACGCCGCCGGCAAAGGGGTCGACGCGGACAAAGTTTGCTGGAATCGCGAGCGAGCCGTTGGCGGCAACAATAGCGTCGCGCATGGCGGTGACGGCGTCGGCGGATGGCTGATCCGGGAGCGAGGTCGGCAACTGCGTCCGAGCCGAGGTAAAGTTCATCAGCGGGTACGTCTCCTTGAGCGCCGCCATCCACAGCGGGTCGTAGCACAGCGCATTGGCCTCGCTCGGGTGGGCCGGCTCAAACGGAGTTGTGGGCTCGACGTCGACAACCTGCAGAAAGTCGCCACCGGGCCGGATCTTGTCCAGGGCCAGGAACTTGGTCTTGGCACCCGAGGCGTGGGTGTGGATGGCTGGGTACTTGACGTGCATGTGGGCCGCGAACCAGTACTTGGGCTCGAGGGTGTCGAGCAGGTCGGCCAGCGGCGGCGAGCCGAACGAGCCGTCGGCAATCTCCTTACGGAGGAAAGACTTGATGCGGAGGAGCTCATCGAGATCGCCCTTAAGGGCAATGCCGGTCGGCCAGTCGTGAGAGACAAAGACGTCGATGTCGGCGTGGCGCAGGGCCTTAAGCTGGAAAACCTCGATGGAGCGGGTGTGGTAGGCGGAGCGGAGCGAGGACGAGTTGTAGGGCGGGATCTCAAAGTGGCCCTTGTGGTAGTCATGCGACTTGTAGATGCCCGAGATACCGGCGATGCGGATGCCATTGAAGGAGACAGCGCCAGCAGCGCCAAGATAGTACATATTAGGCGCGATCCAGCCACCGTGAAAGACTTCTCGAAGATGAGAAGAAGCCTCATGATTTCCACCAACAAAGAGAAGCGGAACAGATGCAAGAGACGTGCCCGAGTAGTAGTTGTGAAAGGTGTGCATGGCGCGGAACTTGGGCGGACAGGAGAGCGAAGCCAGATCATCCATAGATCGCACAGCTTGAAAATCTCCGCAACAAACAATCAAATCAACCTCGGTTGAATGATGACTCGCCAGGTGGTCCACCGCGTCGTACAGCCGAGCCACTTCGCCATGGACACAGCCAATGATAGCCAGCTTCACCATGTTGGAACACTTCCTCACTGATGCGTAGCTGACCGAGCTGTGTCTTGTCCTGAAATGCGCAAACGTTGTCGGTCTTTGCCGGAGGGCGGGGCGAAAGGTGGCGCGGAGTGAGTGCGGTGCCGTCGGTCGGTCGGTCGGTCGGTCGGTCGGTCGGTCGGTCGGTCGGTCAGTCGGTCAGTCGGTCGGTCGGTCGGTCGGTTGGTCGGTCGGTCGGTCGGTCGGTCGGTCGGTCGGTCGGTTGCGAGCCGCCAGCCAACCAGTCGCCAGCTGGCAGACCACCGGCCGACCAACCCACCGGCTGCCTGCTCGCGACTGCTCTAGATCAAACTTGTATTGGCTCGGCTCGGTCTCGCGCTTGCCTGATTGCTTGCTTGACCGACTGATGGCTTTGGTTGGACGAGTAATGGGTGGGCATGGTCTGATTTAAGTTGCTGGCGCACCATGGCTCTGGCCTTTGACAGCGACAGCGGCCGAGTTTACTGCGGCCGGGTTTCTCAGCCGTCCAGGATGGGCGGTGTTACGTGGCGCCGTGAGCGCTGGCGAGTGGCGGGGCGGTAGCGATAGGCGGCTGCTGGGTGACGGTATGGGCGTCGGCAAGCGCGCGGATGTCGTATATGAGGCGCGCGGCACGCGAGTCGAGGTTGGCGACAGCGACACGGGTCGCCTCAGCGGCGGCAGCAGTGTCGGGCGTCGGACCAAGCTCGGAGAGGCGCAGAGGCTCGGGCTCGGGCTCGGGCTGTTGTTGGCGCGGCGGGAAAAGCGGGGCTGGTTCACGCGGTTGAGCCGTCTCAGATGGCGACGATGGCGGCGGGAGAGGCGAAGACGGAGAGGCTGGTGGCGAGGACGATGCCTGCGACTCTGACTGCGGCGATGGCGGGGGTGTGTCCTCCAGATCGCGGCCGTGCTGCTCCAACGAGGCGAATATGTCTTCGAGAATGGACTGGGTGGCACGACGCTCGGCATCAAGCCGCTGCGTCAGCGCCACCACCGAGGCCGAGCGAGGGCCATCTGCGCGCAGCGAGGCATTATCGGCAGCAAAACGCACCCGCTTTCCGGTGCCTCGCGGGAGATGTAGACTCTGAGACGTCGAGGCATGCGGGACCAGCGGACTGCCGGTCTCGGGCGGCGTTGCGGGCGCAGGCGAGGCAGCCGACAGACTCGGCTGCTTTGAGAGAAGATCCGGGCCTGTAGCATCATAGAAAGCGTGATACGGCGCGACTGTGAGTGATGCGGCAGGCGCAAGGGGCTCGGTGATCGAGACCGGATCGATGGCTACGGTGTCGTCGCGGAGCTCCAGCCCTGCGGCGCGACGCTGAAAGTGCTCCAGCGTCCATGCAACAAGGGCGCGATCATGGACCGAGTCAAAGAGAAGAAGAAAGTCGAGGGTCTCGGGATCCGACGGACTCCCAAGCCAAGGATGGGCAAGCTTGCCCGTGGCGACCGAGAGCATGCCGACAACCTTTGGCGCGAGCGCAGCGATGGGATAGGCGAGAGCCGACCTCGGTGGATCCTGGTTAAAAGCATGGACCACAGGCGGAGATGTGGCCATGGGTCCAACAGCGAGAGCAGTGTAGCCATTCTCGCACCTCTCGACAAGCGATCCGGTGTCAACAAGGCCACCACCGATGGAGGGAACGAGCAAAGCGAGTCGAGCCGTATCGACACGCAGGCGGCCAGGGATGCCGAGCGAGCCAAGCGAGGCAGAGTGCGGAGTGACCGGTTGGTTAGGGTCAAGGATGATGACAGGAAGGTCAGCTGAGCTCTGTTCTGCTATGCTTCGTTGTGCTTTGTGTACGGTAAAGGTGCTGAGTGTGGACATGGCGGTGGCCCCCCCTTCTCTGGCTCGTCAAGTGTTGCCGCCAAAACGGACAGAGGTGAGTCACCTGCAGTTGCGGCGAAGTCGACGCGGAAATGAGCCGAGGTCGATGGGTATGGATGACGGCGATATTGGTACTGGTGCTAGTGTGTGATGGATGATGACCGTGAGTGTGGTCGTGGGTTGTGTAGCTGGTGGTGGATGGGCGCAAGGTGGTGATGAAGGTCGCCTGATCGGGCGAGCGGGCGGCGGCTGGTGGTCGGCGAGGCAGGGCGAGCAGAGGGGGCGGGATCGGGGCTGGGTGGCTTGAGAATGCTGTTGGTTGGTAGATGAGGAGTATGGCATGTGATGGTTGAGGGGTGGCGGTGTCGGGGTTGGGAATGAGGATCAGGGTGAGATGGAGTGAGGAGGGGAGGAGAAGGAGGAGAGGAGGAAGCGGGGTGCGCGATGGGATGGTGGTGGGCATGGCCATGGCATGTGGGTAGGGGTTGTGGTTGGGATGGACGTAATGGTGGTGGAATACGGGGTGATGGATGTGACGGGCGATCCCAACCAGACGATGCCGTCGGGCTCTGCGGTGAGAGTGTGAAAGGTGGGCTGGCTCTCAAACGAGTCGATGTGATGCGGGTGGAGGCGGAGGGTGGGGGGGGGGGGGGGGGGGGCGAAGAACCAGTAGGAGGGAGGGGACGAGACGGTGGTGGCGTGGTGGCGTGGAGGATGTAGCCGGTTGGGGTAGGGTGCCACTGGACCGTGTCGTATGAGAATGCGCGAGAGATCAGGACAGACAGCTGGCCA